TCTCAATAGTTTTACACATTTTTTAATAAAATTTGGGAAAAAATTTACAGTACAAAAACAAAAAAAAAAGTCATTGCATTCGTCTCCTGAATCATTGGAACATTTTGAAATAATAATGATTAAAATACCACAAAACATTCAGAAGTGAAAAAATAAAATAACTGAAACAAAAAAACTGYAATCTCGTTTATTGGTTCATGAAGTCCAACAGGTCAGATCTTCCTTCTGCCAGGTGTTCTCCTGCTTCTGCTGCTGCTTCTGAAAACAGCATGTGAAAATATTTAAATAAGAGCTATTCCCCTCTTAAATCTCACACATGTTGGTCCAGTGTAAATTTATTCAGAAAGAATCTTCACAGAACAGCGTCAAACCTGTGAACAGACCTCCTTCTGTGCTCCGAGAACAAGGCAGGAACTCAGCCTCCATGTGTTCCCGCTCTTCTGTTTCCTGCTGCCTGCGAGCTACAGTCCTGTATTATTCCCATTCCTCTGAAGTTCATCACCCAGGTTTTGCCACAGCCTTTTAACCTCCTTCAGTCTGCTAGAAAAAGAAGAAAAAAAGATATGAGCTTCATTAAAGATTCACAAAAGCTGCAACAAAACCCTGCAGTAAAAAAAATTAACTGTTTTCACCTGATTGCTCTTAATTTTAAACATCATGAATATTCAGATAGTTTTATTTGTYATAAACTGCTTTAAGTTGATTAAAAACATGCAGTTTTACTGTAAAGATCTAAAATACTGAACAAGTTAACCCAAATATTCACATTAATCGATGTGGATTTGCCAAATTTAGTAAAGGTAAATAAASTTTGGTGTGGCAGTCGCTGTAGTTTTTGTCAGCTTGAAGCTCAGATTTTGAGTGACGCTCGTCTACAAGCTGAAAACAAGCTGAAACAAAGATCCAAAGTGTGACTGATACAAATTACCTGCGTGGGTGTGGAGGTATAACTTTCTCATCTAATTCAAAAACTTCAGGCTCCGATGTGGAAAGACAGAGTTGTCCCTTCTAAAATTACCGATGTGAACTGGGTGAAGGAACGAAGGCTTTATTCTCCCAGCAGCCAGACGAACAAACAGAAATATCTCTGCAGCCACAAATGAGCAGCGGTTTGTAGCCGTTTCCTGCAGGTTCTGGACTGTGAGCCCAAGTGTTTACTGATCAAAAGGCAGCGGTTTTTGTTCCTACTGGGAGAAGAGTAGCAGGAGTCGACTGAAAGATCACGTGTCGGTCCAAGAAGAGCAGAAATCATGCTTTAATTACACCAAAACTAAATTTATATAAAATGATTCTTCTCTTCAGGTTTGTTCTRAATCAGAGAGAGAAAGTGGCTTCTTAAAAATTCATAATCATCATAATCTTTTGAGTTTTCTGTTTGCAAATAAAATCACAAAATGAAAACAACCGGGTTTTGTTAAAAATGTAAAATGGAACTAATTAAAAATCCAGTGTTTTATTTTTGCTTTAACTATCTTAAGCTCCGTTGTTCCACCAGAAGGTACCAAA